GTTCCGTCCCGTCAGCAGCAGCACAAGCATTATGCTTCTAGGACAGGGAAGCACATTGCCTGGATGACCTTGGGAGCCAAAGCCATGCACTGCCTCTCCTGTGAGATTCAGAGAACTTGTGTGAGTAAAGCAACTTGGGAGCTCAGACAACAGCAAACAATCCCCTACTGACATTGCACCTCTTATTTTCTCTAATAAAATTCAAGCTTTAAGCACTGACATAATACTTTATTTTTTATTCTTTCACCTGTTCTAGTATTCTAGTAGTTTGACAATAAATATGTGGCAAGTGGTAGCTGAATTTTTACCTTGATTTTAGGTAAACATGCTGCTATTTGGATTTACTAATTAGCAAATTGCAGTTAGCATATCATTTTGCCCTTGCACAGAAAGTCATTTTGTCTTTGCTCTTTATCAAAAATGTCTTTGCCTATATATATGCTGTGTTTTACCTCTGATTCTTCACTATGAATGCTTCAATATATGTGATTCATCATTATACTAGGTTTGATTCCACAAAGTGTGATTACTGCTTAATATGTTAAATTTTATGCTTTGAATTGTTCCTATTCAGCCTATAAGTAACCAGAGTCATTCTGGAAGCACAGGTGCGCATGCTTTATGGTCTATTTGCTTTCTGAAGTGGACTAATACATTCTGCACAGCAGAGGCTAATAAGTGACTTATAAAAGGTCACCCTCATATCCTTCATTATAATATTCCAGCGAAGAGTTTAACAAGCCATGATCAAAATGCACAGGAAGAAAATATATTTACCATGTGTTTGTAAGTGTAGGAAATTAGATGCTATATAAGGATATTAAGAGATTTGTCATAGTTGGGCCACGCTGAGCCAAAGTAGCCAACCAAGTCATCCTGTTACGAGGCTCATGCTCATTCAAGGTCAGTCTCTGCAACCCAGAAGCTGCCCGATGGTTCTCACCTCTGCTGGTCTCAGTGGCTTAACCAGTGGCGTGACCCAGCCCTCATCCTCAAGGCTCTACACACTATGTAGGGGTGAGGCATTGGTCATATCCATCCACATCCATTTACAGTCCCAAAAGGGCAAAGAAGCACCTAGGAAGCCCAAGTGAATTGCCTGGAGCCCCCTCAAAATCGTCCTGATCACCATCATGTAAAATTAGCCAGACCTCTTTCTGGCGGAAAGCCACTCCTCCCTACCAAGATAGTGAATTCTCAGCTTGCCTGGTTGTAAAGAACCACAGTTAGCAGAACGGCAGGCAAAGCTTATAATTCAATGAGATACTTATTGGGTCCAGGGAAGAAAGGTGCCGCCAATGAGGACATGGAGTTCTAGTCACCCAGAGCTCACAGCCTTAGGGAAGGAAGCAATGTGTTCCCCAGGGAATCACAGGGTGATGATGGCAGCTCCAGCTTCTTCTCTTAGTCCCATATGTATTAGCTTCCTAGAACTGCAGTTAAAACTTGCTATGAAGTGGGTGGCTTAGAGTATCAAGAAATTTGCTTTTTCACAGTTTGGAGAGTCAAAATGCTGAAATCGCTGTGGGTGTTTCTTCCTTCTGGAGGCTCTAAGGGATAATTTGTTTGTATTTCTTTCCCAGATACTAGTGGCTGCTGGCAATGCTTGGCACTCCTTGGCTTGCAGCAGTATCATTCCCACCTCCTACTCCAAATAAGGGCACATTCTGAGGTTCCAAGCGATGAATTTTGGGGGTGGCATTTCTGGACCTATCACACACGCACCGTGACTGTTGTATTGATTCTTCTACTGTAGCTTGCAACTCCACAAGGCGCCTTATCCCATCACTCACATTTCCAATATAACAAATGTACTGTATGCATCAAGAAGTAAAGTTGCTTCCACTCCTGTTACGGGCGCTGCTCAGAGCAGGCAGCCTTGGGCATCAATTAGTACACAGCCAGAGCACCACCTGCAGGTATGAAGTCCCTGCCTGGATGTATCACTCAAAGACACTCACCGGCCCTTGTGCTTCCTTTTTCAGGGCAAGAGGTGCACGTAGTCATTTGTTTCTCATTCTGGAGGTCCTAAATTGTATGAGTTTAGCATGAAGTTCATAAAGCTTATCCCTTGAAAGTTCATGAGATTTATCTCTTCCCTCTGGAACACATCTAAGCAAGGCGTCAAGGGTTTAGTCCATTGTTTATCCAGCCTCATCATGTTTTACATTATGTAAAAGATCTAAATTCTCTGGATAGAGCAGCATAGTTAAAGAAGGCCTAGGACATATATTCCATGTACTTTTACCATTTGTACCTGGCGTGGCTGTTGCAATCAAAGTTATTGCTCAGTTGAGCTCACAAATGTCTGCAGGAGCTGGAATGGTGAACTAACGTAGACAAACTGAGACCACCACCTCTATTCTTCATAGCCCTTAAAGTGCCAAGTTCTGCCATCATTCTGGTCAGTCCTACCATCACGTCACTCTTGACGGAAGTGAGCAGACAGGAGGGCAGTGCTATAGTTTGGGTCAATGGCCCACGTCTGAGGACACAGTCCCTGGGGGACAAGTGCTATTAGGAGAAGGTGGGACTTTTGAGATCGGGGCTAGTGAGAGGTCTTTACGCCATTGAAGCTATATCCTCAAAGAGGTGCATGGGACCCGAGGCCCTTCATCAGCCCCTTTTGCTTCCTGGTCATCTGAGGAGCAGCTTTGTTCTACCACCCTTTCCTGTCACGATGTGTTTCTTCACCACAGGCCAAAGCCACAAGCCAATCACTCATTGACTGAACCTTCCAAGTGACCCAAAATAAATGTTTTCTCTTGTAAGTTGATTACCTCAGGTTATTTGTTATAGGAACAGAAAAAGGACTAACCTGGGTACTCAGATTCCAAGGCTTCCACTTGGCTTTCCACACACTCAATGAAAGCACCATAAGAACACTGGCCAAATTTCATTACCGAACTTCTCCTTCACTCAAACACGGAAGCAACAAGGGCACAGCTTCTGAGTATCAGTATCAATGCAGACTCTGTCCAGCGGTCCCTGAAATGCCTTACATTCCTCCTTTGCCAAGGATAGCATTATTAAATGGCTGTAGATCCCTTTGGGAAAGCGCTGAAGCATGTCTCGTACAGACGCGGTGGTGTTCCTCCTGACCCCCAGGCATCTCTTCAGTCAGGGGCTCACAGTCTGAGGACTGACTCAGGTTGAGAAACTGAGGAAGGGATGACAAATTTTATTGGGTGTTCACCCTCAGCCTTCATGTCATCCATCCTTGACTTTGTCTTATGGTACAGAAAATAGTATTCCTTTTGACTACCTATTTATTATGGTTCTAAGGGTGCCGTGTTGTATTAACTGCACCCTAGGTCCCCTTGACTATCACTGCCACTTTGATAGCCAGTACACTGTGACCCTCTGACTTCTGGCAATTTACATACTTCCACTTGACCCTTATTTCTGAGTTTCATCACACACTGCCATCTGCAAGCTAAGCTCTGTAGTAGTCTTTCCCTAGCAGCAAGACTGATCCATAGATATCTTAAATTTTAATGGCACTTGTGCCTTGTTATCAGGGTCAAGGCCTTGTTACATGTAGCAGAACTGGCCTCCTGACAGCTGTCCTACACTGTTCAGTGATACCTGTGCCACGTCATCAGTGAATGTATCTACAGCCTTGTTAAATGGTTTCTACTTGGCATTTGCACAGAACATAATCATCTGACATCTAGAAGTGACTATCTATTCTAGCACAGCCACTTCCCTTGGTCGTTTAAGTCTTTCCCTCCACTGTCTGTCATAGCAATCCTGGCTCACACTAGGCTGTTATTTTTTCCATGCTTCTAAAAGCCATCTCCCAGGATCTTCCCCACGGTGTTAAACCCTGTAACTTAGCATAGTTCTTAGTCTATCAATCCAATGACCCAGTGGGGGAACTACCATCAAACTCTTCTAGTTTGATGCTCTAGGTCAGTGGCGGTATGTTGTTTTTAAGACAAAGATGTTAAAGTAGAGGTTGTCCTTTTTCTAAACTAAAACCTTAGTACTCAGGTCTAGCTGCAGCGTTGGCACTTGGCAAGAAGTGGGTTTTGGGTTGCAGTCTGGCACTCAGTCTCTGTAAGGTCTGCCATCACTAGTCTAGATGACATTGACTCCAGCCCCCAGCGTATTCCTCCAACTCTTCCCAGTACATCCTAGCTCAGTCCTGTCATTCCTCTGAGGTACAGTCTGTTGCTTCCGGTATGGGATCTCACTTAGCTTTGCTTAACCTTAATTACTTTAGGCCTAGAGATTATGTTAACTGTAAGGGCCTGGAGGAAAGGCAAGTCCTGAAAGGAGCTGATGCTGCCTAGGCAAAAAAGCCTTTGCAGCATGCAGTTTGGGCACAGGGTGGAGAATGCTTGCCCTCAGACGGGCAGGGCGTCACTGCAGGGCAGGAAGTTCCGGCTAGGGAATAAAACACTTCGGCAGCATCCATCTGATAGATCCATCTCTTTAGGTCTCAGGTTTAGATCTCCCCTGGCTGGCAACTACCTCTGAAATTTGTCCACTTGAGATTATTAAGTCTTGAGGTTGGTCCTCATTTTCTTAACCTCCAGCTGCAAGACATGAAAAGCTTTTTCCCAGACAAAGGCCCTCTGGCTTTCACACCTGGTTTTCCACTGCCTGTTACCGCCCTCAGCTGTTCACGGTGACTCTAGAACAAGAACGGTATCGCACAGCCATTCAAATACTTTCCCTGTATCTATAAAGCCAGCCAGACAATGCTTCTTCTCCCCCCACATGATGCCAATTCAGTTAATGTAAACTGTAACAACTGGAACTTGGGCCGCCAAGGACGACTTCCAGAGAGCCAAGCTTTATGTCTGTCTGTGTAGGCCTCTGCTACCTACTCCCACAATAGGAGAAAGGAAGGAAGAGAGGAAGGAAGGGAGGAAGGGAGGGACGGAGGGATGGAAAGAGGGAGGGAGGAAGGAAATGGCTTATAAAAGTACTGAAATGCAAAATAAATTTTAAAAATGAGAATAAGTAAATACAATGTCAAAAGTACTTAGTGAAATAGTACTAAATTTATTCAAAAAAGAAATTAATACTATTTCTTTTACTGTGTCCCTGAAAAACAACTAGTTGGTCACTTTTGTCAATACACTTAGGCATTAAAAATAAGTACTGTTCAGGACATTCATTACGAAGAAATGAATGGGTCAACTATTAAAAACATGAATGACTTTAACAGCAATATTTAATGAAATTTAGGCTACAACAACATACAACTTTCACTCTGTGGAAAGACATAAAAAAACAGCAAATCACTTTATCCATTACATTTCACAAAATCAAACAATGAATCTATAAGCAACGCTTTTTAATAAAATCGGTAATTTCAAATAAATATATTACCATTCTATTCCTTTGTTCTACATGTATGTATCTAATTGCCAAAACCTACTAAATTACTGAAACCAAGTGTACTTCAATCCATGATGTGTTTGTCTGGACCAATAAAGTCTTACACTGGAAATGCATTTTCTTATGCTAAAAGCTTTTAAAACTGCTCTGCCCTATGCCTTGGCCCAGTGTGGCTTATCTTTCGCACAAGGCCTAGCTAAGGGCACTTTTACATACCCACACATGATTCATCAAGACACATCTCCTGCTACTCTCACAAACGGCCGCCAACACCCAGGCAGTCAGCTCAGCTAGTTTTCCTGTTCCTCAAAGTGAGCATAGCCACTGGCATAGGTCCTTCCTAAATTCAAATTAGTAAACAAATCTGAGGACTCAGCATCTGAATCCTTTCCACCTTCATCTTCTTCCTCTTCATCATCCTCTGCTTCATCCTCCTCCTCCTCCTCATGGTAGCTGGCATCACTATACTTGTCAGATGAAAGGTTCTTCCAATAAGCATCGTACCCAGAAGCTCCGTCGCCCTCTTCAGTTCCAGCCTGCCTGCCGAATTTCAGGGAGCGCGCTACAAAAGACAGGCACACAGCATTTTGTTAATTCCAGTTTTACACTTCGTTTTCTTCTATAATAAATAAAAGCACATGAACTTCACTGACTACTCTCCCATGAAAAGACAGACAATTATTTTCCTAACCTTTATGTGGAATGAATCTATATGCACAAGTAACGAAGATTACAGTGTCATTTTATTGAATGTAAAAAAAATTTAAAAATTACTCTTCATTTCTTCTGCCTCAGTAGTGAAACAAAGTTTGGTGCAGAAGACCAACAAAATCGTCACTCATCTCACCTCAACTGTATCTTTTATTAGATGAAATACTGTCAGTCACTTAGAATTACACTTTCCTTCTGATATGTTTAGAACAGTGAAAGTTCTCCCTAACAAAATGTTAGCTGCATTACTATAATCATGGTTGGAGTAGTCTTACTCCTTCATAAAAAATTCTATAATAACCACAAAAGTTTTCTATAGTACTGATATATTATGTGACAAGCACTGTGTTCAAATACTACACACCTTAAGAGTAACTTCAAAATGAACCTGACTTTTAAGTACTGAAAATTATCACCTATTATTCTGCCCATTAGGGATTTATTCAATTACTTAATAACAAAGCCTAACAAAACAGAAAAGTCCTTTTTACAATCTCAAATTTCAGTATTTCCTGTCATTAACTGGGGTAACTACTAAATATCAAAATAAGTGTTGGTGTTCTTCTTAAGTTAAACTGAAAATTTATACCTACATTACCTTCCAAGGCTTAAGAGAAGACATTGAGCTTCTCAAAAAAAATAAAGAAAAGGGAATTTAAAAATAGAGAATAAAGGTAAATTCTGTCTAAGTATGAAAGCAAATTATTCCTTTGGTATCTTAAAGGCCTTACTTGACATGCTAAGATCCTTTGTCTCCTGCGTTTCATGTCCACATTTAGGGCAAGGAGGTTGTTTTCCTTTTTCCTGTTTAAACACCTTGCTTCTTGTGTGTTCATCACAGAAACAAGCCTATAGAGAAGAAATAAAAATAAAGTAAGTAATTAATTTCTGAAATACTATCATTCAGTATTTCAAGAGAATTTAAAGACACAGTTTTGGTGAGGCCTAGTGATTAAGAATTTTGTTGGGACCAGCCACAGTCCTGATTTTAATTTCTTAAGGAAAGTGGTTTTTGCCAGGACTCTTCTGAACCATGACATGGCACAAGCCAGAGACTACACACAGAATATGATGTGCAGATGCATTTGTCCATGGATAACATTTGCTAATCCACAAGGTCCCTGACGAAACAACAGTGAACAGCGGTTTACCCTCAGAGTGTACAGGACAATGGAGAAACAATTGCAGGACACTAAGCACTGAGAGAGAAATGCAGACGAGGGGCTAACAGGACACAGGATACAAGAAAGGCTTTCCGGGAAACACTGAGTCTTGGCTAAGATCTGAAAGTGAATGCGGGTATAGCAGGGTAAGCAAAAATAAAAGGAGTGTTGCAGCCAAAGGAAGAATCCAGTCACACGTAATGCCTAACGCTTGAGAGCACGAAAACCTTAAACAAACTGAAGGGTGGTAAAACTGGAGCAGAGCTGGGAGAGGAAGGAGACTGCAGAACCTAACACCCAGAGAAATGTTTCTGAGAGTAAGCGAACTGAGAATCTGTGTAATGATGTGTGACCAACAGAAACGCTGAAGACGGCCTAAAGAAACAGAGCACTATGCAAATTTTCACTCCACTCACACTCTTCTGAAAAGGTACACTTCCAAGTTAGTAAGATACACTGCTAACCTTTTGTTCACAATGTTCTCCAGAAACGTCATGTGTCATAAGCACAGACCCAGAACTCCGGACACAGGTGAAGTAGTAGCAACTATACTACAAGCCAACTGGACAACCAAGAAAAGCCACTTACACTTTCTCAACTTCAATTCCAGAATCTCAAAAGTTAAACTGTATAATTTTAGGAGGCCCCGCCTGTTTAATTACAACTATGAAGAAGCCTACTGCATGTGGACAAAAAACAGGGATTTAAAATTAAATCTTAAAAAACAAGACAAGAAGAAAAAAATACAAGCATACCTTACAACGAAGACATGAATGCTGACCAAGCCGATTGCACGAAACACCTGTGGGAGAGGGGTTTGTCTTAAAAACCTATCAGTTATTCAGTTTTCATTTTCTTCTTTTGTTTTTTATTGAATCAAATACACTCAATGAAATTTTAGCCTTACATTCACATTTGCCTGTTGGGGGTCAAAGCTATAAATATACAGAGCTCCTAGACCCCAAATAAAGTATTTTAATTTTTACATTATACATTCTGTGAAACTTTAAGAAAGCCTCAAACATGCTATAGACTTTTAAATGCTGTTTTAATCCTTAAGAATTTTCTACATAAATAGTGCAAGAATTATATATAAATATATAAAATATGTTGTATGCATATCTCAGATCAACGACTTACCAATTTTAAATTTACAGATGAATACAGAAATTATCACTTCATAGCAGAAAGAAAACCAAATTAAAGGAAGTGACTCTAGGAATTTCAGTTCTTTTTTCTATCATGGCAACTACCATTGAATGAAGGCTAAGTGCCAGGTATCCCACACTAGAGCTTTATGTGGATTCTCTTCTCAATTAACCTTTTCAGAAACATTACCCACAAAGATGATAGCATTTTTAACTCAATCAATAACACTGATTCTCAACTTGAATATATGTAAGAACTACATATGCAAATACAGATGCCTGGTACCCACCAGATTTAAAAGATTGTAAAGACAGACTCTCCAAGGACAAGGCCTGGCACCTATGTTTCTTAAAAGCTTCATACGTTATTTCTGATGTATTCTCTTATATACCTATCAATGGAACCAACTATCAAGAACAAACTAGGGATAATATCACTTACTTGAGGGCATTTGGAAATAGAAAAGGGACATGGATAGGGTTTGGGGGTATAACAACTTGAAGGGGAAATGACATGTGAAACTCAGAACCAGGAATGCCCTAAGTCCTATAACGCCTGGTTATAAGCCACAAAACAAAGGACTGATATAACCAACATGCCACTGGCATCCCAGGACTACGTGTTTTCATGAAACAGAAAATAGATACATGAGTCAAATTACTGTCTCATAAGAGACGGCAGGAAAGACCTGATTCCTTCTTCATTAAAGATTTATAATAAACATAATCTCAGGTATAAGGAAAGCTAATTATTTTTTAAAAACTTACATTTAAATGTTTCTGCCTCCAAAACTTGGCAACTGGCTTGATGCTCAAATTGATCATCTTCACAGAGAAAGTTATGGCAAAAAGAACAACTGAATATTCTGCCTCCTAATGGATTGAAACAAACCCACAAATATAAATACGTTAAACTTAAATATGGAAAACTCATCTCTAAAACTGCTCAAAAGAGAGAGCAAGTGATTTCTGAGGTGCCCAGCATTTTGCTTTCTGAGAAAAGCTAAAGTGAAAACAGCTGAAGTACTTGAAATCAAACCATAAAATGATGGATTCCGGAATCCCCTGGCTACTTACACAGTGCTCAAAGAGATCACCTGTCCCTACAACTTTTCTCTTACCTGCTTAGGTCAATGTTAGCACTCAAAATACTGCTGGTACAAATCCCTTTTCCAACTAAACATCATCAAAATAGTACCAGTAGTTACAATGGGTGGCACCCTTAAAATAATCTTAAAAAATAGTATTCAGTATGTTTGAAAGTCAGCCTTTACTTACAGCAAAGCTCACCAGTTGCATTTAATTACTTACCATGGTCCCATACACCTCGTTCACATTCAACACACTCAGCATCAGTAAGAGGGCAGGCGCAGGCATGGGTACTGAGACACTTCCTACCATGGCACACCCAAGCTTCACAGAAGTCACATATTGCACCCTGCAACCAAGGACCAGGAACATCTGATCACTGTCACTTGATCAGCTGCAATTACTGTTTAACCAGTGGCCAACTATCAAAATCCTATACATTTAGTAATTTATCATATCTCAATGCTAGGGGCAACTCCATTAAAGCTCTTACTGTTTAACTCCAAATAGAAGGTTCTGTAAAAAACTACTTCACTGATAGGTATGCACAACATATAAAACTTAGCTATAAACCAAAAGAAAAAAATAATCACAGGGGAAGCTATACCCTTATCCTATAAATTCAGGAGTTGCAAGTATTGCCTTCAAAAGAATTCCAATTCTAAAGAGATTAAGCTTTGTCTATAAAAATTCCTTTAATTAAACTGAATTGTTAACTACTATTTCTGATTCAAGAAAAATTTGTATTTATTTTATTTATAAAATAATCAAATAACTTTTGTCGAATAGCTAAGAAAACACTGACTATCTGCCATCTTTTTTATGCTTTAAATCATGATAACTTATGCTTTAAATCAGTACATTTCTTTGTGGGGAAAAAAAGTAAAACATATGGAACTAAACTACAGGATCAGACTATACAATTCCATGCAAACATAGTAAGAACATGTCTTTCAATAACAAACGGACACCTACAAAACATTAAGGCTAGAAAGAATCTTACAGGAGTAGAGCTACATGATCTTTCCTTTATATTAAGTCCCAGGACTAAATCCAAGTCCTAGATTAGGATTACAACTGAGCTGAAATTTAAATCTTGGCCTCCTGAACCTCAGTTAAGTATTATACTACTCAAAGCTCTGTAAGTGACCCAAAAAGCAGCAAATAGGAAGAATGATTTTTGATCTGTAAAAACGGAGGATCAGTATTGCTAGCAAATCCTCTACCTATTCACGTAAATCAGCCAGATTCTAGCAAGAAAGAGAAAACACTCTTAAATTAGGTAATGTAGAGTTTAAACAGATACTGTACAAAGGAGAGGGCTTCTGAAAAATATCAAGTGATAACACACACCTACACCTGAATGGACAAGGGAAGAGAGGGAGTTTACCAAAACCTAGAAAGACAGACTGTGTTGGGAAGTACTAGACCATAGGGGAAAAAGTCTGCCTCAAGACAGAGAACTGTATGTTCTTAGAAAGTTAGCATATGTAAGATATTTCATTCGATACAAAAATATTATTACTTTCTTCATGGGCTGCAATTTGGATGTGAAACAGAAAAAATCATGTAACAAAATGCAGTAAAACAAGGAATACATATTTAATAGAAAATATACTTTTGTGAAAAAAATTCATCAAATAATGTTTTAACTTAACTAAATTTCCTTAGAAAATCCTGTATATAATGAGACTGTAAGTAAAGTATACATACTTTTTTGAAATGTAATGCTTAAAAGGAAAACATTAATAATCCTACATTCTTTTGGAACTTGGCTGTTAATTTAACCAAAGGCTTAAGTGTTCGTTAAGAAAAGCTTATAAAGTAAATGGTATTTTGTGAAGTCTGATTAAGGTGTACAAGAAAGGTTCCACTGAGAAATGAATTCATGAAACATGAGACAAAGCACAGCTATTTAGAAAAAAAAAAAAAAAAAACAACTGGTCAGATGGAGCTTTTACTTAGCCTTGGAAGCTTATAAACCAAAGGTATAACTGACAAGAAGCTTACCACCATTGCAAGGCCAGTACTATATACACCAGCATGCTTTATGACACAGTCTGAAGACTTCATCATGCACTTTGTCTTTCCTAGCAAAGAAAAAAAGTGCACTCTTAGTCCTACAAAATAGTACAAACAAGTATTCACTAATTTCTCCTGATCTAGCCTAAGCTTCTAAGGAAATACTTTAAATACAAATGAAATCAGTATCTTTTACTGTACATAATTAAAAAGAAAAAAATAAATATAACTGAGAACTCATTATAGGCAGACCCTTTGAAATCAGAAATGTATTAATAAACCTGTTAAAATATGTAACAAATTTACATGCTAATTCATGCTTGTACTAAAAATCAAAAACTGCAGGTTATACTCAGTAAGTCAACAGTAATTTCAGCATTTTAAAATCGTATGAATTTTCTGATGAATCAAAACATTTTAAAAAGTCATACTCTAAAACTGAAGTTTACGTTTTACAATTTATAAGAACAGTCCGGCTTCAAGTTGTCATTTATTTATTGCTACAAAATACAACAAACAACACCAAAAATGATTATGCAACTCTTCTGTTTAAGTTTGTTCATTCGTAAAATTAAAAAACATAGCTCCCAGGTAAACATTTTTCTAAGAATTCTAACAAAATTTTGAAATAGTGCCCAACAGAGCACCAAAAAAAATATAGTATTTCAATTAAAAATTGCAACATACTCACAAAAGCTCTGATCTAACAGAAAATTACCAAGCTGAAACACTGCCAGAAAATCTGTTTATCGGATATTACGTGAAGATTAATGATGACACATTAATCACTCATCTGAGATTTTACAAAGTGGAACGGTAGAGAAAAAGAAGATGATCAATTTTCTAGTACCTTGATTTCCTGAGGCACAAAGTTAGACAACAGGAAATGGGAAGAAAGAGAAACTGGAAATGCAGCAGTAATTACCCCAACTGTTCATGTCTAACACTAAGAACAGTAAACAGAAAATGCACCCAATTATACCACTACGAAATCTAAGCCCAGAGACATTAAAATATGGTAAGACTTGACCTCTAAATCTTGCACAAAATCTAGTTTCTCATTTTACATTTATCTGCCCTGTGCAAAATAAGGATGTAAAAGCAGATAGATCAGTGTTCCATGGAGGCCAGTTTTCTCTTTTCCATTAACTGCAGAATAAAAAAGATGTATGATTGAAAGCTAGAAATACACTAGAAATATTCAGGGATGCAGGGCTAAACATTGGCTACCATGATTATATTGCAGCATGATTATACTTAAGACACACAGAAATACGAGCATCCCAAATTGTTCCACCTGAAACTACCATCCCCAAAATAAAGGGAATATTTATTCAAGTAAAAATTTGAGAGGTAAATTTGGAGTAAATAAAGTTAAACAGATTTCCTTATTGAAGATCTCCAGAGCTTTTAACATATAAATATGTAATCTCCTAGATGGAATGAGAGGATGAAACCTGCAGCACTACTTCCATATATATATTTTTCAAAAACTACCTACTAGTATCTCAAGTAGCGGGTAGTAGGTTATTTGGGAAACACCATTTATTTCTACTTTAAATCATCATTTCAGGGTAAAAGTTTCTACCTATACTTGGAAACTGGATGCATGACACAGAACTCTACTTCTGTCATTCAGGAAAACATCTGAGGAAACTGAAGAATCACACAGTAATACTAAACAGAAAAAGAACTCACCATAAAATCAAAACTAGGTTATATTGGAATAAAATGGTTCTTAGTGGTCTAACAGACTACATCAGAAGGTAGTATTTTCCAATGCCTAGCAGGCAAAATTAGAAGGAACCAAAGCTTATTTTACTTTTCCATTTACAAAGGGCTTTTTTTGAGCTTTTTTTTTTTTTTTTTTGGTAGCAGGAACCAAACTCAGAGCCTCACCCTTGCTATGCAGGCGCTGCATTACTAAGCTACATCCCCAGCCAATAGGAGGAACTGAAATTTAGAAAAGTTTAAAAGATACTGATAAGACTAAGGTGGTATCATTAAAGACTCAGAACCACCAAATGTTAGCCTAAAGTTTGCTTTTTTTAGTATTTAAAACAACTTGTTAGCAATCTGTATCTGTATTTTACCGTATTTTCTAGTATTACATCTAAGAAGCAAAACTAAAATCTGATGTTTTCTGATAGCTCAAATAACATCTGATGTTATTTCACCAGTGGAAAGACATAATACTACTGTAAATAATAACGAATCCACAGGTTCAAACTGATTAACTGCCAAACACTGGCTGAAAGAAAAGGCATGTGTTTTTATATACTTACCACACTGTGCACAGATTGGTAACTTCTGTACAGCATTACAAAAATAACAAAATGCTCTATTCTTCTGCCGCCTTGTCATGTAAAATAAAAATTTTAAATAAGGTAAATGTAAAATAAAAGACCAGAGGGGCAATTTTATTATTTGAAGATAGAAAAAAAAACAAAATTTACCTCTGACACTTATCACATTCCTATAAAAAATGAAAATGTATCATTAACTTTTCTGTTGAATATAGTTTTCTCCGTTAAAATTTAAATAGTACCATTTCCACCCACATATTAAATCTTCTACATATATTTAAACAATAAAGGCGTACTCTAGCCATATCACACTAGAAAAAGTGGCATCACAAAAGAGACTAAATAGAGTGGTGTTTTTTTTCCCCATTTTTTAAAGAAGTCAAATGCTACAGAATGAATATAAGAAACAGTGAACACAAAAGATCACAGAATACCTACATTTAAACATAGCTTTAAAAGCTCCCCACAGCTGAACCCCCAGCACTTTTCAAATCTTGTGGTCTATTCTCCTCGAAGTAAATCACCACTGGTCAGCCTTTCCCCAAGTACATCCCAAGCTCTCTCTTCTCCACACTTTTCCTTCTTCCAATACTTTTCTTTGAAACTCTACCTAATGGAAGGTCTAGTGACAATCCCACCTTCTCTGTGAGCTGCATCCCTACACACACTGTTTTATCACCTCTTAGTCGTAATAAATGTATTGTGCTTTTATTGAAATACTTATCAATATCTACTCTCATTATACACATTTATATATGCCCATCCCTTACTGTTTTCTGACCGGCCCTCCTCTTCTCATGAAATGACCTTGACAACCAGAACATTCCTCACTGTCACATCTATGCTATGTAATCCTGCCCTTTCCCTTCCATAAGTGTTAGTGCTGGGATGAACACTGGCTCATGACAGACATAGCAGTTTCTCCTTTCTGAGCTCAACAACATATAAAGGGATACATGTATGTAAGCTACAAGTAACTAGGAAGCAAAGCAAATGAACAACTGAGAAAAGAGAATAAGCAAAAATGAATGAAAGGCAAAGGATGGAACTACAAGTTGGGATACAACTGACCCAATGTATGACAAGCTGCGACCAAACTATATAATGAATGGTTAAATTTTAAAACTGTACTATATAGTAAGAGACACACTGCCATAATCTCCTTCAAAGTATTTTCCTTCCTCAACACACTTATCCTGATGTTCTTGCCACTTTCTGAAGCAGTTCTTGAAGTCCTCCTTAAAGAGTGTTCTAAGGAGATGTGATCAATAACACTATGAATGCTGCTGCTGAGTGCCATCCAACAGAAAGGAAGGCTCAAAAAATCAGTTCTTCATCCACCTTATTCAGCAGAACTGCACCATATGACTTCAGACTGTTCCTCAAAGTCAAAATGATCATGAAAGATAAATGTTTTTAATCAATTCAGGACACTGAAGCAGCCATGAGAGCACAACTAAAGACACAAAAAAAGGCTTCCAGAACTGGTTCAGAAATGGGCAAGAATGATGGGATAAGTATGTTCAAAGCACAGAGCAGTATTTTGCAGGAGATTAATAGCAATGTCTCTATTACTGTAACTAATTTGTTTTTAAATGTAAGCATTCAATTATACCTCATAGCTACATCCCCCCTTTTCTAGCTACTTGCATTAATCCATTACCCATTCAATAAACTATTTTTCCTTACACTTATTTAAGTTGGATTTCTGTCATTTATAAACAAATAACTGAACTGTAAGCTTGTAGAAACAGGAACACCAGGTCATTCAGCTATAAATCACCATAGCACCTAAAAGAGTACCCGGCACAGAGTAGATGCACGATAAATATTTGCTAAATTTAGGCACGTAAAGCATTTCCCATAAGTTTGAGGAAGCTAAAGCAGAATAAGTGAAGAGGAAATTATGGAAAGAGCAAAAGTGAAAATATGGAGAGATGAGAATAAAGATAACATAACAATCATTGGTTTTTTCACAAATTTCACCAACGCAGCCAGAAATGATCAAGATTAACTCATTAAGCACAGGCATAAAAGGTAATAGGACAGGTAGCCAAAAGATATGTCAACAAGTTGGGTAGCTCAAAAAAGAATTGCTAAAGGAAAATGATGAAAACCCAAGACAAGCTGAGTTAAAGTATGTAAGGGTCGACACAGTGGTAAATATCATAGTTCCTATTATCCATTCTTGTTCAGTATCAGTTTACCACAAATATGGGAGATAATTTGCTAGCTTTTATAAATAATATACAATCAAAAGTGACTGCTACTCATATTAGAGAAACAAAGAACACGCTTCCAACACAGGTTCTGGATTAAATAATGTAATATATGCAAAAACACTGTACTCACTGAACTTTTTTCAGGTGTATTTCAGATAAAATACATACACAATCTTAAATATTAGTTGATATTTTAAAAGAAAGCTGTTACCATTGAAGCATTACATGGGTGTTTAGCTAGATCTACAGTGCTTCTTGATGCTCTTAGTTGTTTTTCACGTTCCCTACGGTTCTCAGCCTTCTTTCTGGCACCAGTCTTTTTTTTAGGCATTTTCCGCTCTTTCTAAACAACAAAAAAAGAAAACAGGAAAGATGTAACTGCCGGTTTTCGTTTACTATTTTAATGAACTAAATGAAAAACGGAATAAAAGGGCTGGGGGTTTAGCTCAGCGGCACAGCGCCTGCCTGGCAAGCACAAAGTCGTGAGTTCGATTCCCAGTACCGGAAAAACAATTAAAAAATAAAAAATAAAAAAACAGAATAACAAAATATTCTTACTGTCCTTGAATTTCAATACTGTCTAACATTTTTATGGTTAAGCAAGCTGTAAACCTTTACAAACCATTATGCATACATTAATCCAAATAAAGCAAAGATCTTTAAAATTAAGACACATATTTTTACTACCGAACAATTCTTTAAAAATGTAAACATAAACAGAAATTATCCTAAAACCCGAAGTAGCAGTATTCTTTCACTAAGAAAAAAAGGTTCTCTGATGCACCTTGCTTAAAAATAAAAATCAGTAAGTATGTATCATCAAGAAATCATCTAAAAATGCATTTTTACTCAGTTGAAATTGCTTTCTAAGGATATATATTCAGATAGCCTAATTCTCCCAAAACACTGAGTAAAACAAGTCTAGTCACTGCCAAGTAATATCTAAATATAGCATCATAATTGCGTCAAATGTCACCATTAATTACAAACTCAAAACATTCTCTCAGTAAAGGTATGAAAAACACTACAGTTGCCTTGATTCTGAAAGCTGCTCTTCCTACAGGCAGTGAGCATATAGTTTTAACAGGGTTCATATGTAATGTACAGGAGCACATACATTTACTGTATATTTAAAAGGACTTTAAAACTTGCTTTCATCCCTCCACTGAAAGAACTTCAACATATAGAAGAGCAAGCCTTTTCTAAATTGAAGCTTTCTGAAATGCACTGTCTGATCAAAACCCAAGGCGCAGGCAGGATGGTATGGATTGAAAAATACACAGAGACCAGTCTTAAGAGTTAACTGGTGGTTACTTAAGTAGCGTCCAAGACACTCGGGCACCTTTCCAGTAGTAAGACGAAAAATCCAGAGGGTGCGCTGCCCTGGCCAACAGTGCTCAGAAAATAATCACAGGGTGACCGAGTGGTGACATTCTCTACGTCCCCAAGGGTGTCTTTTGAACTCACTGACAACTGAGCCTCATTTTCTTTTCCTCCAACTTGTTATGGTCACTTAAAAGAGTAAAATCCTTTCCTCTGCCTTCCAGGGAGAGTTTCAAACACAGGGAAAGGCTCAGGGTCACAGGTTCAGAGGTCAGGCCCGAAGTCGGGGGACCCCGTAGGAGGCGGGGACGCCCCAAGGGACAGGCGGAGCGCCACGCGGCTCCCGGCTGCGGCGCGGGGCACTGTACCTCGCGCGCTCACCAACTTGGGGCGGCCGGGCTCACGCGGGGTCCAGGAGCTGAGAATGGCGCGGCGCAGGCAGTCAACCCCTCGCAGGGACTAGGACTCCGGAAAGCGTACCGCCACCCCGAACGACAGACAGCGCAGGTTTCCGACACTGGGAGAAGACCCGGATGTCCTCCTACGTCAGCAGCTCCCTTACGGCACACGTAGACCGGAAACGCCGGAGCAGCCCCGCCCACTTCTGTTCGCTCCGCCCAGCTCCCGCCCTTCCCTGAGGGTTGGGAGACTCATTGAGGAGGAAACCTGTGAGACAAAGACAATGTGAGGGCAGGCGGGAGAGCACTGGGAAGGGAAGGACCCAAGCCCTCGGCAGTTTTATTTTTTTAAGAAAAATTGAAAGAATCCAAAAGGAAGAAAAAAATGTTAAAGAGAATTTGCCCAAACAGTTGGAAACCATTCCACTATCTAAATCTTACATGCTTTACATCACAAGCTGGCCTTCAATTGCCTGATTAAGTTTGGAACCTCCCTCCTCTGTTTCCTATTTCTGCTGTACCCTTGGGGTTCCATCCCTTTGTGAATAAATTCCTCCACGTTCTGAGCCTCTTGTGTGTGGTCTCCCTGCCCACAGCTCAAACCTGACTGCCCTATCCTTGAAAGACTGCTTGCTTTAAGTTTCACTAAAGGGAGGGTTTCTGTTTTCACCCAGCCCATGACCTCTTGGTGAGGAAGACAGTGCCAAGGTCCACCGTTATCACACCCAGGCAATCAGTACTCCTTTCCGTCTGGCTACGCCACTTTTTATCCTTCATCGCTGCTATTTTATACTCGTCCCTTATTAATGGAAAACTCACATCACTTTAACCTCTGCCGTCATATAATCACCTTAACAGATAAGTAGAGGATCCATCCTCCTAAATCCTTGATTTCTTCGTCTCCTGCAGCCATTACCTCCACTACACTCTAGGAATCTACTTTCCTGACTAAACCTCGGGTCTTGTTGAGGTTTAAAAGTCAAAATTCAACTGCCTATTTTGCCAACTCTCTCACACAATTTTCCCTCCTAATGGAGACTTCAAATTTCTTGACCACTCTATTTTCTTTTGATCATCTCTCTGCTTCCTTCCTGTCTTTTTTAGCTGCTTTATAAAACATAGTTCATTACTTCACAATTTGCCATGTTTTCTTTCTAACTAAACCAACTGGAATATATCCAATTCTGAGAATTCAACAGCTTTTCTTTTTTTTTTTTTTTTCTCCTATTCTGAATTTTGAAGAGAGAGAGAGAGAAGAAAAAAAGAAAAGAAAAAGAAAATTGGGGTGGGGTGGAGCAGGGGGAGGGGAGGGGAGGGAAAGAGAGGAAAAAAAGACACACAATTATGATTCTACTTTCGATTCATAATCACCAGATCAACAGCTTCTCAGAATTGTCCTCCAATCCTCCTACATTTTCTAAATTGATTCTATCATTTGGATTTGTCACATGGCTTTATCAAATATTCCTTTCTTCAACCTTCCACCACTACTTCTATCAATTTTAACACATATTACCACTTCCTATTTCACAGAGAAAAATAGAATAATATTAATAACAACTAACATATAACAATTTTTTGCTCTTGGACTGCTATTTTACATGTGTAGTATTAACTCCCAATTTTACACAGAGGAAACACACGCAGAGACACAATTATACTTGCCCCAAGATTACACAGATAATGTGGGCTATATCTATTAATATTTACTCTGTAAGAAATTTAAATTGATAAAATTTTAAAATATTTCTTAATTCATTAAATATCTTCCTGATAAATCCCTTACATGTTAATACAGTAGTGCTTATTTGAAACAGAACAGTATTTTCTCAGACATAAACTTAGAAGCATGAAACTATTTTATAATTTTCCAAATCTCTTTAATGTAATGCTTATAGAAGGGAGGTGGATTCCTGTATCTGTCACATCATATAATATTTTGATATTCCCTTTTACTCAAGGTACAGTTTCCCAGAGAAAGTACAAAAGACCCTCTCAGAAAGAACCAGGAAAATCATTAGCATGTACACTTTTCATGGTATCCCAGTGCTTTCCTCCTTTGGACCTGGGCTTTGCTATGATAGTCTACAGATTCAAAAGCTGGCTCAGACCTAGAAACTAGGCAAATATTTTTGACCCATTATTGCAACATCGTTCTCAGCATCCTAACCATACCTTCCTTTAATTTCTTTTAATTGTACCAGTTGAGTGATATCTTCATTTGCTGCCTATTGATTCTGTCCCTGGGAACACCACATTCTGTTCCTGGGAACACCACATTCTGTTATGTATCTCTTAACCTTCTCAGGGCCGGGCCCCTCTCCCTTGTTTCCATGCAGCTCTTGTTGATCATGATATCTACTAGGTTGTGTTGTAACTTGACCCTATCCGTAGATCTAGTGGCTAAGACAGCTGGGAGCAGACCTTGCCAGTGGTACAGTTTATATTACAAAGAGAAGACTTCTGCTGCTTTTCAAGCAAAAGGGAGCACTAGCCATTAATCAGGAATACTGGGTCACATGTAGGTGGAGAGGGTTCAAGAGAATCTGGAAATTGAAGACTCTGAGGTACCCCCACCCAGCCAGCTCAATCAGAGTCTCTTTCTTTCTGATGTAGCACTATGACTTTGGCATAGCTAATGTGCAGGGGTTTGTGGTTAATCTCCTTTGGAACTCTGCCACGCTTATGATTAAAGTGCCAGGCCTGTCCCTCAGCTGTTTCTGCCATTGCACACAGGATAAAAGCCTCTCTAGATGCTATCAAAAAGACCTTCTCAATTATCTTCTTAGATTTTAATAGCCAATTAACCACTCAGCATTTTGCTATTTCCAAAAATCAATTTTACTTAGCAACAGTCAATGCTTCTGTCCTTAAGGTCACTGTTTCCCTCATATTTCTCAAATGCCTGATGCATCGCACCCACTAGAATATTACTTTCCATTAAAAAATCAACATGGTTCATTACTGATCAAAGTTTTAACGACTGCAGTTACCTTCTGCCAAGGTCTCTCTGTCTTACACCTATCACCAATGAGGAGGTCCTGCCAGTCAGTCAAGTGGCTATGACTCAAGTCATAAATCCCATTTCAGTGTCTACTTTCTTAGGCCAGTTCTAGAAATGACTGTCTTAGGTTGACTTCACCAGCCAGTGCATTCTAAGTCAGAGATGAGGATAAAAAGTATATTAGAGAATGTTTTAGGAGCACCAGCTATTGAAGGGATGGTACCAGTATTGGATAGAGTGAAAAGTTGGTCTGCAGTATATTCTACATAAAGGCCTTGGTTTGAATCCAAGGTGTCTTTTCAGAGTCATTTTGAGTTGGAGACACTTGTATCATTCACTCAGGCTGTAGGATACCAAAAGAATGGGTTGTGACCTTGACCTAATCTACTTGTGAAAGCTAGCAGTCAAATGATGTCACCTTTTTTCTCCCCCAGCAACTGAGGAATTAACTCCATCATCCACAGAAAATTATGGTAAAAGAAGTATTCAAACACAAGGAATCCTGTCATTCAGAGCTACTCATTGAAAGAATTCCAAAAGGTGTGCTTCAGGAAGATAAAAATTCAATCAGAAGGAAGGAAAGAATAGAGAAAGCAGTAAGGCATAATCAATTCATTTAATGTATAGGATAAATCTAAAACATTTTTTATATATAAAACATTATACAATATATATCATATATAGGTAAGTAATTTTTATGGAAACTATACAGAACTGAAATAGTCTATAAATCCAATACAATTCAAATCAGACCCTGACAGAGATTTTTTTTAACAGAATTTAATCAATCTTAAAATTCATACGGGCAAGAGCCACCAAAAACCCAGATCATTTTAAACACAAGCAGAAGATGAGTACCTTTATTTTAAAGCTCTACCATAATTCATCAGCTGCCAAAATAAAAGTAACTGGATAGAAAGCTTAGCTACAGGTTCAAAAACATTCGGGTAAGTTGTGTAGGACATATTTGTATCAATGAGATATATTACTTAAGAAGTGAGTCAAATTCTTTTGGTTACTCATATGGAAGAAAATAAAACTAGGTACCTATTTGAAAGCATAGATAAAATAAATTTCAGATGAATTAAAGATCCTAATATATAAAGCAATAATATAAAACTAGTACAAGAAAATACCTTTTGTCTTGAGATAATTCCTAGACACAAAGAGGAAAAAACTAAAGAAAATAACAAGTTTAACTAAAAAGTTAAAACTTCATTGTAACAGAAGACATCCTAAATGTAAAAAGGGCAAATCAAAAGTGCAAAAGATGAGTTTAACTGATAACAGATTTATACACAGAATAAATGAAAAACTACCATTCAGTTTAAAAAACTGAAAACAATCTAAGATATTTAGACAAAAGCCATAAATGAAAAATTTTATAGAATTGGAACTCTAATAACCCAAATCAATACCAAAATGAGCCACCCTTTAATGCCCATCAGAGTAGCTGACATTTCAAAGGTTTAATATGTTGGGTAGAGGTAGAGAAGCAATTTTTAATCAATTCTGAGTATAAAATGTTAAACCCGTTCTGGAAAGGCAGTTGGCAATGTTGAATATTGGTAAATATGTGCACATCCAAAGATTCTGAAATCCTTTTCTAGGTCTCTACCAAATGAAACTGTTTACAAATACCCCATCATATCATAGCACAGTTTAATAACAACAAATTTTTAACAGTGTCTATTTCAATAGAGAAAATTAAATCACAAGCTACTTACACAGCAATTAAGATTCATGAACTTACAAGTTCAGTACCAACCAAGGTAATCCCAAAATATTATATTTGATGAAAGAAAAATCAAGCTGAAATACTATACATGTAAAATTTCAAAGGAAAAATCCTGTCATATATACTGTTTATGGACACATAAGGCATACATAAAAGTATCAAAATATGCCTGGTCTTAGTTCTGTTGGAGTGAAAGGAAGACACAGATGCTGTGGGGCTTTAACTATACTTTTAGTTGACAGAACAGCACTAATTGAAAAACATATGTAATAGCTCAACCTCCACCAGAATGGCCAACACTAAAAAGATTAACAGTGCCAAGTGTTGTTAAGATGTAGGGCCACTTGTTTGGGGAAACATATCCAGTTTGGGAGGTATAAATTAGGACTATCTCTTTAAAAATTATTTAAAATCATGTA